ATTTGAAATAGAAAATATGGTTTTGGAGGGCATTGTTTAACTCCATGATGTGTGCATACTTATATGTAAGTTATACTGTTTACAATTAGAAATACAATACACACAATAGTATGTTATTCCTTCCCTTTCTTTTAGTCATGTGACTTTCAGAATTGAATTTGGCAGCAAAAAATGAAAAAGAGTTTTAAATTTACCTGCATTTAAAGAACACAGTCATTTTACATATTTCGTATTTATCTGTTTGTGTAACTTTTTTCTTCTTTTTTTAATGTTTATTTATTTTTGAGAGACAGACAGAGACAGAGCATGAGCAGGGGAGGGGCAGGGAAAGAGAGGGAGACACAGAATCGGAAGCAGGCTCCAGGCTCTGAGAGGTCAGCACAAGAGCCCAACCGGGGCTCAAACTCACAAACTGTGAGATCATGACCTGAGCCGAAGTCGGACCCTTAACCAACTGAGCCACCCAGGCGCCTCTGTTTCTATTTCTTAATGGAGTTCAAAATTTGCAGCTAATCTTTCACTTATATTGTCTCCCTTTATTTTATTTTATAAAAACAAACGGTGCTATATATATATGTATATATATATATATTTTTTTTACAGTTACTAGACACCATTATCATTAAAACTGCAATCAGAGCAAACTTTCTTTCCACAAATCTCATAACCCATATTGCTAAATTTTCAGAGAAAATAAGTTCTGTTTTTCTGTAGATCTTTGTGATATATATTATCTTCCTTTATTCAGAGCCTGTTTTCAGCTATTTTGTTATGCATGTAAAATAATGCAGACATAAAAGATATTGATAAACTGGATTAATAAAGCATGAACTTGGGTCATTCAACTCCCTCATCTCGCTTGTCTTCTTATGGGAACAGTGTTTATCATCATCATCATCATTATGCTGAAGTATTTGTAGTCCAGTAAGAACAATATACAAACAGAAACATCACCATGAAGCAAAACATTGTGTGGCTTCAACTGACCAGACATACCATTCAATAATTTAAAAGAAAATTATGCAAAGAGGAGTTACAATTTTTTTAAGGTTTATTTACTTTTGAGAGAGAGAGAGAGAGAGAGAGAGAGAGCGAGCATGAGCTGAGAGGCAGAGAGAGAGGGAGACACAGAATCTGAAGCAGGCACCGGGCTTCGAGCTGTCAGCACAGAGACTGATGCAGGGCTCGAACCCACAAACCGTGAGATCATGACCTGAGCCAAAGTCGGACGCTTAACTAACTGAGCTACCCAGGTGTCCCCACGTGTCCCAAAGTGATTTTTAGCAAAACATCATCCCTTTAAAAATGGCCATTTTATTGATAGGACAGTAATACCCCCCTTATATGTAGTTTTGTATTCTGTGATTTCAGTTACTCATGGTCAACCACAGTCAGGAAGTAAATGATCTTCCTTCATGTGTATTGTAAGAAGGTCAAAAGCAGCCTAACGCTACATCACAGTGCCTACGTCACTCACCTCACGACACCTCAACATGTAGGCATTGTATTATCTCAAGAAGGATGAGTACACTAAGGTATTTTGAGAGATAGACTGCATTCACATAACTTTTACTACAGTATATTGTTATAGTTGTTCTATTTAATTTTTAGTCGTTACCATTAATCTTTCCTGTGCCTAGTTTATAAATTAAACTTTAGCACAGGGATGCATGTGTAGGAAAAAACATAGCACCTGTAAGGGTTGGTACTATCTGCAGTTTCAGGCATCCATGGAGAATCTTGGAACATATCCCCTGTGAATAAGGAGGAACTACTGTGTAAGAATTAGGAATAAAATAGGTAAAATATCAGAATTTCTAAACTGTTTTCCTAAAACTGAATGGCAACTTCAGGTAATGGTATGAACTTATTGATACTTGGTATAAGCTGGGCCAATGTAGTTTGAAAAAGAACAAAACAAAATCACAGAATTAAAGATCTGAAAGGGATATTAAACTCTGTATTCTGTCCCATAGTCTTGTAGGCAGGGAACCTCAGAATAAGGGATCTTAAGGCTAGAGTCAGAACACTGCTGTCCTTAGTCCCAGTTGTTTGATTGGACCATGATGTTTCTCTCTTTATGTATTTTCTCCTCAAATGCTGTCAAGTAAACCATTTTGAAAATGCTGGTGATGGTTATAAGAAAAGCTAAATTATCACAACTGATTTTAGGGAGATGTATTTATGTATTTTCTCCTCAAATGTTGTCAAGTAAACCATTTTGAAAATTCTGGTGATGGTTATAAGAAAAGCTAAATTATCACAACTGATTTTAGGGAGACTGATCCCTTTACTTAGATTAACACCTGTTCCTTCAACATTTTTATTGTTCTGATATATAGAGAATTGCACCTGTCAATTTGCAAGTTATCTGGTTTTGAATATAATTAAACAATGAGCAATGTTAAAATTCAACTCTAGGTAACAAAGCAAACAAACATAAAAACCCATGATGACCTCTTCTTTCAGTCAATACTGTCTAGGGGCTGTATATAGAATCACAGTGGGCTGACCAGGGGAATAGATCCAAGTTACTCTATCGAAGGATCACACTGTGTAGTTGGACTCAGTAGAACGGAATTTCTATTACCTTTTCATTTGGTTAATATCTCCAGGGACAGGTGCTATGGGACTGACAAGCAGTAATCAATACAATTATTACTGCAGTTGACATTCTTAGTATAATCAATATTATCATAATTTTGTTCTGCTTAGATTGTATGCATCTGAATCTGAGGTGAGAAAAAAAAATGTCTGAAATTTGCAATGAAAGATTTCTTCACTTCCAGGGGAAATGTGAGAACATTTTTCAGTCTTCCATCCATCAACATGAATAGCAACTTGGGTCATGAGTTAAAATTTTAAAAAAATTAATAATGATCCACGTTTGCCTTTGATCTGCTGAATGGACAGAAAAATAGTAAGCCCTAAAGAAATTTCCAATGTAAAATTTTCACTTATGCATATTTTCAATTTTTTTTACAGTGAATGGACATTTACAAGTGATGCATACCACAGTTATGTTGAAAACACATTTAGTATTTATTATTACTGAAGTTTTGCATTTGTGCCCCATATTATTTCCATCTATAAAGTACAGATAGTCTTAGGCATTAAAAATTTTTTTAATTCTTTAATAATCATCACATTCTTTGACAGAGTTACACAGGGAGACTGTAGAATCCTTAATGTTATGCAATTTATTCATACTTCTAAAGGATTCATTAAAAATGAAAATATTCATTCTATAAATTGACTTATTTCTGAAATGAGGAATACAAATGGAATGCAGTTGGGTCAGAATGTTTCGGAGATTAAAGGCTAATATTGGGTTTAATGCCACTCTGAAACCAGAAAGCCTGTTGCAACTCGGGTCAGCCTTAATATATTTCCTAGAATAGCAAATCAGTTGCTCGGGTTATGATATGCATGGTCTTTGCTTTAATGTCAGTGAAAGTCATATAACTCTTATAAAAAATATTAAGTGCCACCTAAGTGCTAGGTTTCGTCTAGATACTAGGTCAGGTCAATGAACAATCCCATCCAAAAATGTGTCATCCAAATATCACTTATAAATCTCAGTAAAGGCTCAGCAAAATGGTTATTGCCATATAAAACAAGTTTCTTGAGTCCCAAAGGTCAAGGATGGACATATTTACATAGGGCTTTAGGTATTAGTAACTAACTCTTTGGGCTGAGGTGAGGGATTCTGAATATCAGGCCAACTGTCTCCAAAGAATGCTTCCTTAATTTTGGTCTTTCTTTAAAATTGTGCCATACATGTAGAAAATTTCTTAAATATTCCAGGTGATACAAGTCCTTTTAAAATTTAAGATGATTTTAGGGGTTTTAACAACATTATCAATATCTAGAAAGCTCGAGTCGATATCTTAGGAAAGACAAGTTAGCAATTGCCTAAAGTCAAAAAATGGACACAGACTAGGCAAAGAGAAGACAGAGACAAATGTATTATAATGGCTATGGCAATCTAGATAGAAAGATGCTGTGTTCATTTGAATATAGAAATTAGAACTCAAACCATTTTTCCCATTTCTCACTTATACCTGAATGCAGTAATGAATCATGGAGGAAGGAAGTTGAGTGATGTTTGAAGTGAGATTTGAAAAAGATGTAAGATATATGGATAAATGATGAAGGGCAGAGAAAGTGGAGGGGCAGGGAATGATGTAGGGAGGCAAATACAACCTGCATTTGTGGTAGCAGTGAGACTAGAATGTACTCTGGGGAAAGGGCCCAGGACACTAAAAAAAAAAAAAAGTCCTGTGGGAAGGCATCCCCTCAAGATGGATTTTTGATCACTGTGAGAGTCTTTCCAGTATTGATGTCGGTCTGCTGTGTTTTTAAACCCAAACAAGTGTGCTTGCATATAGAACCAAAAATAAGTCCTTTAACTGTACCTGGCCAAAGTTTTAAAACCTTAGAAATCACGTTACCTTTCGTGATTGTTTTCTCGTACACGCGGCCGTGAACCCAATCTTTCTTGACTTCATGTGTTTTTTCATATTCTGAAGAAAGATGCATCATTTGCCCCTCATGATGCAAAACATGTGTGACTTTTGAAGAAATTGATCAGTGTAGGAGTCTTGATTTTACTATCTTTTGCTATTTTCATAAAACTGATTACTACAACTCTGTGATGAGAAGATATTTAATTAAAAATTCAACAGTATCTAATGTAACTGACGTTAAGTGACTGGCAATCAAGTATTCTACGCAGGGTGTGGTATGTCGATACTTTGAAGAAACAACAATTCATTCTAAGAAAATTATAGCAGCAAACTCCAGAACAACCTAACTACTAGCCAAGCAGGTTCCGACATTCTTATGAGTGTGGTCAGGGGACCATAGATTAATACTTTGTCTCAGGCAAATGTAATTCATGGAATGTCACCAAAGGAGGGGCACATGTCGCATCATGTTCACTGGCCAGAGTATATAAGCCTCCTTGTAAACATGTCGGCATTCACACTCAGGATCTTGCCTTGAATAGCAAACCCTACTCAACACCCTTGACACCATGAGATACTACGGCAACTACTATGGAGGCCTGGGCTGCGGCTGTGGAGGCTTCGGTGGCCTGGGCTGCGGCGGCTGGGGATGTGGCAGCTTCCGCAGACTGGGCTGTGGCTGGGGCTGGGGAGGCCTCAGACATGGCTCCTGCCGCCCACTGTGCTACGGCGGATATGGGTTCTCTAGCTTCTGCTGAAAACATTGTTGAAATTGGAAGCAAAGGGAAAGCCTCCAAATTTATTTGGTCGTATTTTTGTGCTTTGATTTCCAAAGCATCTGTCCTATATCCTCCAGGACCAAGTGATAGCTATGTGTCAACGGTCAAACTGTTTCTACAAATATTTGGTGTCTTTTTCCCTCCAGAACCCCTCATCTTAAATGTATATTCAATATATAAAACTGCCCCTTGTTTGATGTCCTCATGTTGGTTTACTTTTCTAGCCACGATTGCCTTAATGTTATCTTTCTAGAAGATCTTGAAGAAAATTTGCGTTTTGCTATTGTCTAATAAAATGCTTACTCAAAATATAAATACTTTGGTTTTGTCTGATGTTTTAATTTTACTATTTTAACATCTTCTTTTGCAACTCGTATAAAGATTCTACTTGTGAAGCATTAAGGTCTGTGGCTATTGATATAGTATGACGCAAAAATGTCTCATTCACCACATTATACAAGCGTGAGAACACATAGGGAGTAATACGAACAGTTAATAAAAATAACTTGCCTTGTCTGTTATCAGTCCTCTCGAAAGTCCTTTAAGTGTTCCTGGAACTACTACGGGTCGTGTTGTTCTCATATTTACAAACAAGTGCATTCTTCTGTGTGAAATGGCTACTAGCTAAACATTTTCTTTTTCTTTTTCTTTTTCTTTTTCTTTTTCTTTTTCTTTTTC